AACAGCAACCCAGTAAACCCTACATCCCGAAGCCTCTACACCCAGCTGGCGCTAAGAGCCTTACCCTAAACCCTTAACCCTTAACCCTTAACCGCTCCGAGGACGAGGAGCTAGAGTGGGAATCTTGGCCAGTAGTCTCCTGGGTTCACTGGTTGGTGTTTAGGGGTTTAGGGTCTAGGGTTTAGGGTTTAAGGGGTTTAGGGTTGAGGGTTTTGGGGTTTAGGGATTTAGAGTTTAGGGGCTTAGGGTTGAGGGTTTTGGGGTTAGGGTTTTAGGCATTCAATTTGCGCGGCATGCCCGAATGCTCTATCCATATTTTGCTCTGCATTGCAGTGTTGCCCAAGATGTACTGGATGCTCACCTTCCTGAGCTTCAGAGTGTTGCTGATGACATTCAGAATACCATGCATGTTGTTCTCATCTACTCCGTCCTAGCGGATTCTTCTATCAAAAGGCTTCATCGAGTGTTTCAGTACTGATGAGCGGGGTTGTCTGCGAACCAGCAATGCTTGAGACCGCTTCTTGTTTTTCCAGCGCACGCCTCATGTCAAGCATGTGGGTGCGTGCGGATCCAGGCAGTAATGAGGCCCTGATGCAAAAAAGGGATTTAGGGTCTAGGGTTTAGGGGTTTAGGGTTTGGGGGCTTAGGGGCTTAGGGTTTAGGGTGACGTGGTGTGGGGTTTGGGTTACTCAAACGAACTTACCATAGTGATTCAATTCCGTTATTTGCTATACGCCTATGCACATTATACTTATTCGGCCTGTGGGATTTGAATTAGGTCCCGTGCCACACTCAATGGTCTGGCTGTCGAGTGAAGTGACTGCGATGAGTGGAGATTGCAGTACATCGCAAGAAACTTCTAAGGATAGCTTTGGTAAATGAGGTTAATAGCTTAATGTGGAAGAGCCCCTTCGATGAACGGTAAATCCAGGTTTTAGGGTTTAGATTTCGTCTTTGCAATGGAACTGGCGTTCTGGTTCGGGTTTCAGGCATGTGGTCCTCTATTTGCGGCGTCTAGGATTTAGGATGTGCGCGGTTGCGTGTGGAAAGCCTTATACCTACCTATAACGGTCTTGTTACATCCAACAGCCCCAATCACCCTTCACAAAGACAAGCCGCCAAAACAATCTTAGATCCTAAATCTTTCTCCCTACATCCTGAACCCCGCACCCTCAGCCATAACAAGAATCCGAAACCTTAAGCCTTCATCCCTACACAGCCTATATCCTAACCCAAAACCTTAAATCCCAGAAACCCTAGCCCCTAAACCCTAAACCCCTAAACCTTTCAGTCGCCTCCTTTACGAGCAAAGGAGCTGGAGCGCACAGCCGTCAGCTGCAAGGCGCTGTTGGACTCAAAAATTGCACCTTGGCCTGTCGTCTTACAGGGTGCCTTACCCTAAGGGTCCAAGGACCCAAACAATAGGGCTTTAATAGGGCCCAAATACCATGAATATTTTAATATTTGGGCCCTAAAACCCTTTGATTTGGATCCTTGGACCCTTAGGGTTATATGGGGTGTTCCATGATTTTCGGGTCCGATTGTGGGGTTCCCGAAAAGGGATTCAGCGCACAAGGTCTGAGTCGGCCCCCCTCTATTTATGGAACCCTAAGGGTCCAAGGACCCAAATAATAGGGTTTCAGGGCCCAAATACAATCATTGTAATGGTATTTGGGCCCTAAATCCCCATTATTTGGGTCCTTGGACCCTTAAGGGAAACTACTTTTTTCGTGGTTAAACCCTAAACCCTAAACCCTAAGTACGCTCAACGTGACATTCATCGACGACATTAAGGAACCCTGTCTTACGGATGTTGGCCTCAGGGGTTGAGGTTTTGGGGATTTTGGGTTTAGGGTTTAGGGTTCAGGGTTTAGGGTTTCAGGGCTCAGGTCTGATTTTTCAAATCTTTCAGTGCAGACTCAACGCCAGGCCCTTATTAAACGCCTAGAGTTCAACTCTAAACCCTACACCATCAGCCCCTAACCCCTTCCTCGACTTCCTAGTATTTGCAACAGTCATTGAGGGTTCCTCGAACAGCTACTTGTAAATCTGATATGGGCTTAGGGGGTTATAAGGCGTAGGGTGGATCCCAAAACTAAAGCTGGTCCATATATGATCTGCAACATCTGATTTATAAGAGTGTTCACATTCTTTTCCGTTCCTTCATGCCCTACTGATGACCAGCAGGAACACCTTAGACCTAGCCCAAATCCACCTCAGGTTAGGTTCAATTCAGCCCCCGCCTCGTCATAATTGACCACCCAACCCCGTACACACATTTGGTACTTTCCCAAAATAGGGGAACCCCAATATAGACCCCCAAATGCTATAGTCCTTATATAATAGGACCCCCAAAATGGTACCCCTAATTTTGGGAAACCTCCAGTTTTCCTTCTTGGCTGATTCTTCGGCGTGCGCACTGATGGTGTACTGCATGATTGGAGCAGCTCCTGCGCAACCTCGAAACACTCCTAAGGGGGACATATTGGGAGTAATGGAAAATCAAATGGAGGCTACTTCATAACCCTAAGGGTCCAAGGACCCAAATAATAGGGCTTTAGGACCCAAATACCATTAATATGATAGTATTTGGGCCCTAAAGCCCTATTATTTGGGTCCTTGGACCCTTGGGGTAATGGGGTATATAATATTATATTGGGGATCTACATAACCCATTAGAGGTCCTAGCCGTCCATTGATTCTCAACAACTTGCAGCCTATACACCAAGCCAAACTAACATGGGAGACCCTAAAGGTCTCCGAGGACGCGACTACTTGAGGTTCCATGCTTGTGGGGTAAGATATGCCCTTGAAGAGGACGACTTCCCCCAAAAACAACCCTGCCTGCACGTACAAATGAGCCGCTTCACGCCCATGCCAAGTTGCATGAAGACTTTGCAAGACTTCTGTACTGTTCCAGGACCCTCCTAGTGCCCTTCATTGGGATATATGGCCGCTTATGGTGGGTACTTAGGCCCTCATAGAGGGTCGGAGGCGGAGGAGGGCCTAGGTTGTTACTCAAACCTGCCTACATGGGTCTGCTTCAATACCATATTTCCCAAGGTGTAAGGTACTTCGGTTTATATGGAGGTTTCCCAAAATTAAGGGTACTTTGTCGGGGTCCTAATCATAAGTCATAAGGACTATAGTATATTATGGGTTATATTAGGCACGCGTCGGCCCTCAATCCTATACATACACATCGAGGAGTGCACCAAGTGGAAACAGACGGTATTTACACCTACAGATCCCTAAGCCCTACACTACACCCTTAAGCCCCTAAACCCCTAAACCCCAAAACCCTAAACCCTTTTAGGGATTCCAAGTCCAATGGAGTTCACAAGCAACAGCCCAGGAAGAGCTGCCATTCGGCTGCACAGAAGCCGCTATGAGCCTGCCAGAGGTTAGGCTCAGGTAGGAGAGCGCGCCAGCTTTTAGCTTATGGCACTATGTAGTCCCCATTCAGTGGATAGAATATAGGGTTTAGGGTTTAGGGTTGTAGTCCCCCTTAAGTAGATCGAATATGGCTTCCGGTATATTAAAATAACATCCCCATATATCTCATATGCTATCTACTTCAGGAAAACTATACTCTGTTGTATGTGTTAGCTACGCCATAGACATTGATAACTTTGCATAGTGTTTCAGAAGTTGCATGCCTACGACTACTGTAGGTTGTGTGCAGAGCTTTCTCCACCGCGGATCTTGGTTTTTTCAGTCGCAGGAAGGGACTGAAGGAATGTTCAAAGGGCTTGCTGCGGGAATTGCCTGGGTTCCGCCCCCCACCCACCAGGGATTCAAGCAACTGGATTAGGGTCCCTGCATGTTCCTACTGCACCGCTATTGCTTGGGCAGAGGGGCTAAGCACAAGGATCTTCAGGCTTGGGATTAGGTTAGAACCCCCAAGAGAGGGTTTTTTGAACAGTAAACTCAATCCAGGCCTTCGTCCGTCCCAATGTTGAGGCTCATCCCTGGCCAAATCCAAAACCTTAAGCTCTAGTGGAGGATTAGGGCTGCAAGATTATGGTTAGGGGGATTACTGGGGTTTAGGGCTTAGGGGTGTAGGGTTCAGGGGTTTAGGGTTTGGGGGTTTAGGGTTTGGGGGTTTAGGGTTTAGGGGTGGTTTCACAACAACATCTGGGTAGCCTCATGGGGATCATGCAGTCGCTGTTCAGGGTTCAGGGTTTAGGGTACCCCAACTCCATCATTAGGACCCTGTGGCTCTGATCTGACTGATCTGACTCTATGAGCTATAGCCTAAACTCCTTGAAGGGGGTTATATAGTGGATTATATAGGGGAGTACTGTAGGGGCTATTAAGAGGGAAAATAGGAGTTTAGACTATAGCTCATATTGAGGTCCCTGGGGTTATCAAGCTCCCCCTATTGTATCTCAAGCCTTCGAATCAAGTCCCAAGGCTCCAGCTACAATCCCCTGAGTCTAAATTCGGCAGCACCTGCAACCAAGCAACGCTTTCCGGGTTTGGGGTTGAGGGTTTAACCTCCAAACTACTCATAACATGTAACCCTGAATATGCCTGAGCCCTGTGTCACCGGTCAGTATCCCAACTATGCTTACTATCCAGGTATCTAACCCGAACACCTAAGTGTCCGAGCTTTCAGCAAGTAGAAGCCTTACATTGGACATGGTCTGGATACTGCCCCCCACTCAGCAGCAGTTAGTCCATGGTTGTAATGTGAAGCTAGAAAAGCTTTTAGTAGTACCGATATCTTTTGGATTGTTGCTCGGTCAGGTATGGAGCATCTGACGTTTCCGGCGGTGCTGCGGCGCAGCGGAGGTGGGGCTTCAAGGTAGCTTTCTTGTTGCCCTTTTGGATCGAAGGCTGTCTGCTGATCTTGTTCATTTCTGTACCATGTACTGCAACTCTAACATGAACATGGACGAGCTAGTCAGTAGTCTCCCGCGGATCATGATGGTAGTGCTCTTGGCGAGGGGAGGAAATTGCATCCAGGTTGTCTCACGATGCTCCCCCCTGGTACTTGCAATGAAAGACATACTTCATAATACCTCATTCTGGAGGGTAGGGCAGGGGCTTACCATGAAGGGTAAGCCTTAGGTGATCAGGGGACTCCCCACCCTGTAATACTGATCATAAGAGATAATGACGATTGTATTAGCGTCCTCTTACGTTCCCATGATGCCACTATTTGCAGGGCGGTGGGTCCACCTAAGATAAGCCATTTGACCATCAAGCATCTTGCAGGAAAGAGCTGCGCGAAAGGGAGCAAAAGAGCCGCCTGGCAGCAGCCAAGAGATCGAACCGCTTTTCTTGTGAATTTTGTTGTTTGTAATTGGGTGCTGAAGTCTTGGGTGTATGATGCAGTTGGGGGCTGATGCTGGCGTCGATGGACAAGTTGGGAGTTCAGCCATGAACGTTCCGCCACACTTACGGGAACAAGGGGGCAAAACATTATACTAGATCCCCATATTCCCTACTAGGCCCCAGTAAGCTTTCGTTGGGCTTCAGGGCTGGAAGCGGGTACTGGAGAAATGCCTTTGCCCTAATTACACTGGATTGCTGTAAAGAACTTGTTCAAAAATTAAAGCACTTGTGCTACTTGAAGCAATGCAGGAGTTGACCGAGCGCGCAAGCGAAAGATGTGGCGAGAGGCGGAGTTTGCAAGGGAGCTGGACAGACTCTGAGCTGGGCTAAGGGTTTAGGATGTAGAGTTTAGGGCTTAAACATGGTATTACATGGGGATGATATCAGGCATATACAGGGATTGAGTCCATGGCCCAGGTTTCAAGGGTTTGGAGTTCACGTTTAGGGTTTTCGGTTTTGAGGTTCAGGGTGTCTCGGTGGACATATCTTGCACTGGGCCGTGGAAATCAAAAATGATAAGCAGTAACGAATGCAAGCAGCAAACCCTGAAACCTGGTTGCAGGCGATTTGTGTGATGATGATGAGGATCATGAGGATAACTATGATGATAATTCTGATGTGTGGAGGACAGCAAGCAGGACAGTACTGTTGCAAACAACGCCTAAACGCGGGCCACCGAATACGAACACTACTCGGCCGAACAGCACAAAACGAAACGGCGGCAAAACAACCACAAATCAAGTACTAAACCCTAAAGTAGCTCAAACCTGAACTCTCAACCCTAACCCTCAAGCATGGTAACCGAAAGCTCGCAACAGAAAGCCCCCCAAAGCTTGTGCCCTCCCCAACCCCAGGGTATAGGGTTTAGGGTCACACTCTAAGGCCCCAAAGGCAAATCTGAGAAGAGCATGAACCCCAACTAGTGGTTTAGGGGGCTAAAGCCCAAACCCTATGTATCCCTAAACCCCAAACCTTATACCCGCAAAGGTCCTACTACATTCGAGGCCCAAACCCCTAAACCCTCAAACCCCTAAGCCCCAAACCCTTAAACCACCCAAGCCCTTAAACCCCCAAGCCCCCAAGCCCCCAAACCCAAAACACTAAACCCTCAAACCCCTAAACCCTAAACACCTGATCCCCCAGGCCCCTAAACCCTTAAACCCCTAAACCCCTAAACCCTTCAACCCCTAAACCCTGAAACCCCTAAACCCTTAACAGTTGAACTCCCTAAACCCTTGAACCCACCAATCCCTACTTGGAGAGTCAGGGGGACTTAGTAAGTACTATAATCCATATAGTAACCCCAATTATCCCCATTATAAACCTACGTATTAAGTCCCCCTGAACCCCCAACCCTAAACCCTAAACCCTAAACTCCCAAAAACCCCACAGCCCAGGACTCCAAAGTTCCGAGAAGCGCCTCCGTGAGGAAGAGCGGCTACGGGACGACGTAGATAGGGAGAAGCAAGAGCAGGAGGCTCAAGGGCTTAGGGGGTTCAACGTGGGGTTTTTGGGAGCTTAGGGTTTGGGGTTTGGGGTTCAGGGTTGGGGGTTCAGGGGGACTTAATAAGTAGGTGAATAATGGGGATAATTGGGGTTACTATATGGATTATAGGGGTTATTAAGCTACTTTCTAAGTCCCCCTGACCCCCAAGTAGGGTTTGGAGGCTCAAGGGTTTAGGGGGTTCAACTGTTTAGGGTTTAGGGGTTTGGGGGTTTAAGTGTTTGGGAGTTGAAGGGTTTAGGGGGTTCAAGGGTTTAGAGTTTAGGGCTCAGGGTGCGGGATGTAGGGTTTAGGGTGTTTATGATTCTTGGATTTAGGGATTTAGGGGTATAGGGTTTAGCAGGAGCCGGAGGCAACATGGTTTAGGGTGTAGGGTTTGATAGGGTTTAGGGTTGAGAGAGGTTTGTGCATAGGGGGTATATATATATATGTATGTACTATAGAATTAGGGGCACACATTGGGATTATGTAGGGTGTAGCGCAGTTTGGAGATGTATGGTTCGTGGGTTTAAGGACTTAGAGGCCACTGGGATCTATAGGGTCTAGGGTTTAAGGATGTAGTGATGAAGGATTAACCCGCAGGGTCCCAAGTATCGAACTATCATATAATCCGGAAAGCGTGAATAATGGTTCTCGACAATGCTAGACCCTTTGAAATTCGGGTTTAGGGTGTGCGTTCATGGTTTGGGGGTGAAGTATCGTGGGTGTAGGGATTTAGGATTTAGGGTTTATGCATTATGTGTTTACAGGCATTTTTTGCTGAGAGTTTTGGATTTGTTTTGTTTTGTAATGTAGTGTTTGCAGGCTAGGTATCTCAAATGTCGTCGTCTAGTCTTTGCCGTTGAACTCAACTGCACCCAAAAATACGTGGAACATTAGTCGGATTGACTCTTGAACAGTTCTTGGCCATCATTCCATTTTCTTGGGGGTCAGGCAAAGCTTTGGGTATGTGAGCTGGATGCAACGGATAGGTATGGATAGAACATTTACTGGTGTGTGCGCATGCTGTTTTCTCCTTTTCCAACCGCGCAGCAGCCACTGTCAGTTGTTGCCCTTCCATCGTACAGCCAGCCAGGGATGAATCTGCAGTAATATAGACCCATGATGAATAACCCCGCTCCTTTTAAGGGCCTAAAAATTTGGATCCTTTTTATAATCCCTATTAGGTGGAGGGCATTTTTTAATCAGAGGTCTGGGTTACAGACGACAGGAACAGCATGTGAACCGCACTAAATATAGTAGTTTCCATTTTCTTTTCCACTATCCCTACATAACCCGTAAGTATAAGTAACCTCAATATATACCATAATGTATTATTATATTCCATAATATACTATAACATACCATAATATACTATAATATACTATAATATACCATGATATACTATAATGTACCATAACATACCACATTATACTATACCATAAACTACTATAACATACCAGAATATGCTACAATATACTATAATCTACTATAACATACCAGAATATACTATAATATACCATAATCTACTATAACATACCAGAATACACTGTAATATACTTTAATGGGCCACGAGGGGCGACCGCACCTACTGGAGATGAAAGCTGCTCCCAGGAAAATTGGAAGAACAACGGTGTTGCTGTTAAGGAACTTAGGGTTTAGGGTTTAGGGTTTAAGGAACTTAATTCAAGTTACTACATTAAGGAAACACTCTTAGGGTTTAGGGGTGCAAGGAGTTTAATTCAAGTTGCTACGTTAAGGAAAACATCGTTATTGGAAAGGAAGGTGAAAACTACCATTGTATATTGCGGTAATAATGGGATAATGGAGAACAAAATGAAAACTATTATGGTATATTGGGGTTGTGGGGTTATACCATTATACTAACTTTCATTAAGTTCCTAGCAGCAACCTAGAACAATGTGATGGGATGGCTCATGGCAAAGAAGGGGACTAGCGGTCGCTTCACCAATGGCAGAGGCTTCAAGTGCTCCATAGCCAGGAAAGGAAAACCGAGCAAGATAACGAGCCATCCATCTTCTACAGTCCCCTCGGTGCCTACCTAGATTCACACAGTCGGTATATGGGAACCATGTGCTATCGTTTAGCCATTTTCCAGAGGGTCCCAGCACCCAATATTTAGGTATTTGGGTTTTGGGTAATCGCAATAATACCACAGGCCTTGGGTAAGAATACTACACTTATTGGGTAGTTGGACCCTTAGGGCCTTAGGGTTCTACGGGTTCTTCAGGGTAACTATTAATAGGCGGATGCAGGGCAGCTTGCCTCTGTAGGGAACTAGGAAGTGGGCTAGGGTTTAGAGGGTTTGGGGTTTAGGGTGGTTTAGGGTTTAGGGTACCCTGTTTTGGGCGCATGTAGGAAGTTCAGCTTAATTAGTTTGGCATATTTTTTTGGATTCTGCCCCAAGTCAGCCACAGTTGGACAGCTATAACGTTATGCATATCTGAAATCCCGTAGCATAACGCTACTATAGACTGTTAATGGACTGTTATTGGGTGGGGGCAGCACCCAACCTAACTATAGTTCCCCTTAAGTAGATGGAATATGGCTTGGGGCATATTATACTAAGATCCCCATATGCCCCATATTCTATCTACTTGAAGGGGGCTATAGACTGACCCGGAGAACCCTGAGCAGGCTCAAGAGAAGCAAAGAAAAGAGCTGAAGTTAGAGAAGCTGGAGGCCGGATTAGGGTGTGGGTTTCAGGGTTTAGGGTTTACCTGGACCCCAAAAGTAGGTAAAATAGTGGTCTTTATGGCTATTTTTTGGGGCTTAGGGCTATGAGTTTACATACTTTTAGGGTTTAAGGTTTTTGGTTTAGGCTTTAGGTCAAGGGCTTGAAGTTTATAGCCTTAGGAATTGTACCCCTGGTTTATGGGTCTGCTAGTTCTCATTTTAGGGATCCAAACTCCAGCAAAGCCTGAGGGTTCAATCCCCCTTACGTAGATAGAATATGGGGTATACTGGGATCTTAATATAATATACCCAAAGCCATATTCTATCTACTTAAGGAGGGCTATACAAGAGTGGTTACTTCGTTTACCCTGCCTGCGGCATTCTCTGAGCGGGGCGTGTTTTTTTCTGTCTGAGTTTCTTGCTAGCTGCATGCAAACCATTTAGCCGCTGGGGGTCTCCTATTTTCACTTCAGCGTTTCGCATTGTGCGTCAGGCTCGGCAGCTTGAGTTTAGGGAAGGACCACCTTCAGCCCCTAAACCCTCAACCCTAAATTTTAAACGGAGGAACAACTACCCAAGTGAGGTTGGGGAACAGAGTGAGTTCTTGGGGCGTTCCGCATTCCGGGGTCCAGTTCCGGAAAGTTCTCTATTCAGGGCTTAGGGTTTAGGGTTTAGGGTTTAGGGGCTATTCTACTGAAATAGGGTTTTCGTTCTTTGGTTAAAGAAGGATAATGAGCAGTTGAAATTGCTGTTTGGAGGGGTTTGTTCCAGGGCAGAGTCAGTTCTCGTTTTCGGGTTTGTTGAATCTTTTAAGCTTTGTAGACTGCGGTTAAGGGTGTGGGGTAACCGCAAGCCCATCTTTTGCAGGCTGTGATTGATGACTCCAAGTCCCCATGCCACTCTACGTGTACCTCATGTATGCTTGTACGAGACCTTTCTGATCCATGCTTCTATGTGCGTTTTTCCAAAAGAGTGAACGCTAAGAAAGAGCCTAAGGCAATAAATCTCAGTATTGGCACCCTGAAAGGGATCCGTCAGCAACCCCAATCTAGTCGAGCTTTAGTCTACACTCCTTAAAGGGAATTATTATAAGATTTTTTAAGCGGGTTACGAGGAGTCGACACTATAGCTCATTATGTCACGTCCTTAGTCCCTAAGCCCAAGTCTGAAGGTTGAAGCATTCAGCCCCTCAAGAATCTCAAAACCACAAAAGGTACGCCAAAAATGAAGTCCCTTGTATAATCCATATATCACCGCCACAAACCCTACACCCCTTCAGAATCTCAACCCTAAACCCTCAAGTACCCAAACTTTCTTGAGGCCGATGACGGCCTGGTGCGAACACTCAACGTGGCGCAGCTGGCAGACAACCGGGCGCTGATGCAGATGGTAGAGAAGGCTGAGTGGGTAAATGGGTGACGGTGGGTGGGTTAGACTGAGTCGAGTAGTATTTTATTTGGGGATACTATGGTCCCGAATATAGAGTAAGATTATATTCTCCTTTTGGGGTCCAATATTTCGTATAAGGAATAGAATCTTACTAGGGTTATAGTCCCCCTTAAGTAGATAGTGTATGGCTTTGGGTATATTATAGTAAGATCCCCATATACCCCATATTCTATCTGGTTAAGGGGGGCTATAAGCCCTAAACCCTAATCCCTAAACCCTATCTACTTACGGGGGACTATAGACTCTAGACTGAGTTAGACTTACCGGAGCTTGAGAGGGAGTGAGCGGAATGAAGGAATAGAACAGAGAATGAAGACTACTATATATTGGGTCATAGGGGTTTAGGGTTTAGGGTTTGGGGTTTAGGGTTTAGGGTTTGGGGTTTAGGGTTTAGGGTTTGGGGTTTAGGGTTTACGGTTTTGGGTTTAGGGGTAGGGACTACTACAAGGATCCCTTCCTTCGTTCCTTGCGTTCCTAGCCAACCAAAGGCCAGGCATGGGCCAAGAAAAACTTAGTCGCGGAAAATGGGTCCTAAACCCCTAGCTCCTCTTCAGGTAAGTGCTAGATCTTCTTGAGCGTGCCTTGTGAAGTTAGTAGCCCCTATCCATGTAGCTATTATAGGGCCTACATCTCAAAACTGCTTTTTTGTCACCCGAAATCCTTAAATTAATGCTGCAGGGCAAGCGGAAGCCCTTGAAAAACACATTCGGAACCTTGAATCCTCATCCAAAATCTCCCTCAATCCTGAACCCTGAGGCCCAGAACCCAAACTGTAGGGCCTACAGGGTTTAGCGTTGGGGGATTAGGGTTTAGGGTCAAGGGGCTTGGGGTTTAGGATTTTGCTCCCCCAAGTTTCCTTTCAGTCAGCCTGAACTACAGCATCCTCATTGTCCTTCACGAACGCCCTAGACCCTAAACTCGAAACCCAGAACCCTGAACTACCTAAACCCTAAAACCGCCACCCTAAGTCCTAACCTTAAACCCTAAACCCTGAACTACCTAAACCCTAAGCGGTAAAAGAATAAACTACCTAAACCTTAACCCAAATCCATAAACACCTAAACCCTAAATCCTAAAACCACCTACTACCTAAACCCTAAACCTAAAACCAGAAACTACCTAAACCCTAAAGCCAAAACCATCAATTACCTAAACCGTAATCCCTGAGCTACCTAAACCCTACACCCTAGCACCACCGACTACCTAAACCCTAAACCATCAACTACCTAAACCCAAAACCCAAAACCACCAACTACCTAAACCCGACCTAGAGAAACCCGAACCTTTAAAAATCAGGTTTTGGGAAAGACCCAGGTTTTCTGATCTGAAAACCAGGTTTTTGCGATTTGCTTAAAACCCAACATCTGAGTAGACCATCTTATGAAATGTTCTTGGAGATAAATCTTAGATGGGAAGTACGTAAGCAGACTCCACTACGTAGGACAACTTGGTAAGTGGACAGCGAATCATCTCATGATTGTGGATTGCGCCACCATGTCCCATATGAACTAGAGTCTGAACTCTTCGTATCCGCCTTAGTGATCCTTATATAAAGATATCATATTCCAATATATAATATAATCCCCCATATAAGTACACTTTATGGAGTTCAGACTATAGTTCATATAGCGCTCGCAAGACTTAGGGTTCAATGGGTCATCAATGAGTCAGGGGGTTAAGGCTTTGGGCTTCAGGCGTTCAGACCTTTGCAAAGATAGGGCTTATTAGGCTTCAGGCTTTGGGCTTGGCTTGCAAGTGGCGTGAGTAATCCCGCGGTGACACAGTGTGCACCCAGACAGTGACGGTCGCCATCTGTTGCCCATCAAGAGTGAGCTGAAATGCGCTTGGGATTTACTCGTAAAAACTTATATCTTAAATAGCGGTTTTTACTTCTGTGGTGTTTACGTGATCTTTACGGCTGTTTCACGGGGCTTTACGTGTTTTTTCAAAATTCGTTTTTTTGAAGAAGGTCAGAATACGGGTTTTTACGGGTAGCATTTACGGGTTTTTTACGGGTGAATGTTAAGGTTTTTACTAGTAAATCCGGGTTTTTACGGGTAGTCTGGGGTCCTGAACCCAAAAAACGTAAACAAATGCTTCAAAATCTACATGAAGCCACAGAACTGAAAGAAAACTACAAGTTCGAACCGTCTCCCTGACATAAAATCATTCTGACATACACGGGCGCCTGAATCCTTTCCAGCTTCGTAAAACGTTTGCAGAATTCAAGATTAGCTGGAGCCCCAATCCGTCACACTGTCTTTGGAATTCAGCAATGCAGCCTCAGCGTAGCCAGGGCGGAGGTGGTTATACTGTTGATACAAAAATGCTGCATGACCTTAGTATACTATAGTACCATCATTCCTCGGGTATAAGGTACTTTTAGGGTCATGCAGGACTCCCAGTATCCGCCGTAGAATGATATGTTGTGGGGGGCTTTAGGGTCCCACCAAGGTGAAGAGAAAGGCTTCGAGATGCTTCCAGCTTTGGAGCGTTCCCAACATAATGTATCACGGCTTATGCTGAATGTCCTGGAAAGTAGAGGATTTTCTATCTTCCAATAGAAACTAGGTTTTTTGGTGAATAAACCCTAAACCCTAAAATAACCAGGTTTTCTCAGAATGCTGGTAAATGACCGGGTTTGTGAGTTGGTGAGTTGGAACCTTTTTTGGGGTTCGAGATGCTCTAGGTAAAGCCAAAACCCTGAACTACCTAATCCTGAAACCCAACACCCTACCCATCCTCATGGCGAGAAGCTCCTTGACCCATTCCACTTGGCGAGTCAGGGGGACTTAATGAGTAGGTGAATAATGGTGGTAATTGGGATTATTATATGGTTTCTAGGGGTTACAAACCTACTTACTAAGTCCCCCTGACCCTTCAAGTTCCAGGTCCAGGAGGAGCCACGTGAGGAGCTTTTCACCATGTTGCTCTGGCTGACGCAGAGGTTTAGGGCTTATAGGGACTATTAATAGGGTGTTGGGATTATTCGGAGTTGGGGATTATTAGGGCTTAGGGATTATTAGGGTTTAAGGTTTTAGGGTTTGAGGGTTTAGGGACTATGTTGTGACATGGAAAGCACTATATTGTGGCTGCTGGAAGGGCTCCGGTGTCCCCAAAATTGAATAGCTGTAGGGGCTACGGCCTACAAAGTGAAAAGGGCTTTGGAAAGATCCCTACAAACAGGGTTTAGGGTTTAAGGTTTCAGGTTTAGACTTTAGGATTTATAGAAATTGGGCTAGAACTACTTACCATAGGACTTGTGGTTCTTACGAATACCTACGTCATTTTGACGAACCCATGCGGTCTTGTTTGAAGGTCCTGCAGTTTGTAGCACGCCTGCCTCAAATCCAACATTCCTAGCTAAGGAATTTTCGCCAAATTACCATTTGAGAAGCAGCCTACGAGTTTTACAGCCATATATGCATGTATGCTTATACTGGTGTGTATTTGTATGTGCTTATGTATATGTGCGGACAGGGAGATAAATGATATTAAGGGCTTAGGCTTAGGGTCTAGAACTTCTTTCAGCTCTATTGACTCTATTGCTTGCGTGGTTATCGTTGTTGATTCAAGGGTCTTTGCCAACTCCATAGCTCAGCAACACGCGCAAACGCAGTTTGGGCCTCAAGGCACTACAATGAATGGCTATGAATGGCTATTGCGGCTATGGTAATGGGGAGATCAAAGCCCCAATGCAGAGCAAGATTATCTTCTGTTTCGGGCTGTAGTCCTTTGAAAAGATGATGAGCTTGACTTTGCCCAGGAATCAGGGTTTAGGGTTTAGGGTTTAAGGTTTAGGGTTTGGGGTTTAGGGTTTAGGGTTTAGGGTTTGGCGCGATAGAACAGCCATTCGCTGAATCATAACTCTGTGCCGCAGAAGTTCTCTGTCGTGCCAAGGCTGTTTGCCGCATACATAATATGGATATTCACGAAGCAAAACCACGTGAAGCTCGTGATTAAGCGGAAATACAGCCACTAGTTTCTCCCTGCCCGGAAGTGTCCTTTCGCCTCCAGAGCCACACAACAGCTAGCCTCCCCGGTTGATTGAATCTACGCTCTTGGGTGGTTGACAGGCGAGGAAAGTGAATCATATCTCAAACCTCACCAAACCCTAACCCTAGACCCAATAGTCTTAAGCAAGCCAGTACTATTAAACTCAAAGCCTGTTTCTGACCTAGGAAGCTAGACCCAATACTCTTAAACAAGCCAGTACCATTAAACCCAAAACCCTAAACCTTAAACCCAAAGCCTGTTTCTGACCTAGGAAGCTGGATGTAGCCTACCTCCGAAATGAGCGTCTGCTCGAGAGAAAGCTGCGTCCATGGCTTGAGAGGAAGATCGACGCTGGGCGCACAGTGACATAGGGTTGTAGGGTTTAGGGTTTAAAGTTTAGGGGGAGTTGGGGGTTGAAAAGGTGGAAGGTCTAGGGTTCATGTGAGCCATAGTCTAAACTCCTTAAAGGGGGGATATAGGGGATAATATAGAGGACTATTATAGTGGTTATTAAGGGGGATACTAGGAGTTTAGACTATAGCTCATGTGAGTAAGTCTTAGAGGGATTTGAGTCTGGGGCTCATGCCATCGGACTTCGGGCTCTACCCCTTGAAGGGCAGCAGTGACCCGAGTGGCTTTTCGTCAAACATCTGCAGTCAGTGGTAACAAACCCTTGGTTAGTAGCTATAGCCCATGAAACTGAAGGTAAAGAGGTTCACAGGTTAGTACGTAAGTATAGCCCATGGAACTGTAGGTACTTGGCTTTACGGGTCCCTAAACCCCTAAACCCAAAACCCCTAAACCCAAATCTCTAGGGCTCCATGCCTTCAAAAAAAAGTCCCTACATTGGGCCCCAAAGTCTATCAATGTGACCTACGTTGGGCTATTTGGAGCCTTAGGGAATGGAATCCCTCAACCCAAATGGGGAATCCTAAGCCCAAAACCCCTAAACC